ACTATCTACTGGGGCTTTGGGGGGAAAAACTGAATAAATAAAATCTTTAAAAAAAAAAAAAAAAAAAGCTTTATGAGCCAGAGCTAACAAGGTCAAGGTCAACTACCTCAAGAAAACATGCTGGAGAATCAGCTGTCATGGAAGAACAGGAAGTAAGGAGTCCAGCTGAGGCTGGTGGCCCGTGATGAGGGAATGAGGCAACCCCCCCCCCTTTTTTTTTTTACGTGAGGAAGATCAGCCCTGAGCTAACATCCATGCCAGTCCTCCTCTTTTTGCTGAGGAAGACAGGCTCTGAGCTAGCATCTAGAGGCAACCCTTGATGAGCTGCTCTGCTTTTTCAAACAAGAGATCCATTTCTTGCTCGGTCTTGCTGCTAACACAACTAAAATAAGCAAAAAACTCTTTTGGGATCTTAGTACTTTTTGCACGTCTAAATTATGTTAATTTTTGACCTTAGTTTTTTAATGCTATTTTTAGAGGAGAGTACAAGACATATTTATCTTTGATTATAAACATCCTTTATTTTAATATTTGAGTTCACTGGAGAATTCAATGTGCAACCATATTGGTTTTAGACCTTTCTGTCTGGTTTCTGTTTATCTGGAATATTTGCAATTGCACAGTAATAGTTGTGGAACTGGAAGCTTCTGAACCTTTTGAGTCACCTCAAAATCTTATGCCATAGTACGATATCTGTTTTTTTTTCTGGATTTCTTTCAAACTTGTTTTCCTACTAATCAAAGTACCTAACTGGTTACACCTAACTACTTCCACATTGGCTACTATAAAATTAATGTGGTAGTTGCTGTATTCATCAGGATAGGTTAGGTTATGCTGTAGTAATAAACAACTCCAGAAGCTTACAACAGAGTTTCTCACTCACAGCATTAGTGACAATTTTGGCCAGATAATTCTTTGTTGTGAGGGCCTGTCCTGTGCACTGGGGAATATTTAGCCGCATACCTGGCCTCTACCCACGAGATGCCAGTTGCACTCCCCTAGTTGTGACAACCAAAAATGCCTCCGTTATTGCTAAATGTCTCCTGGTTGGGGGACAAAATAACCCCTGATTTTGAAGCTCTGCTTTACAACAGCCGAATTGGCTTTTTTAAATGTATGCTACATCCTGGCTTGAAGCTGATAAAAAACCCTCTTTCTAAGGTATTGCTGACCTCGTGGCAGATGGTGAAAAAGAGCAAGATGACCATGCACTAAAGGAATCTGTCCAGAAGTAATGTATGTAGGTCACGTTTGCTCAGTTTTTCTGCCAATGCAAGTCACATGCAAGTCACTAAGCTCATGTCAAGGGGGCAGGGAAGCCTAATCCTCCCTGAGGGAGGAGCGGCAACTATTTACGTACAATAAAACAGTTGACCGTGTTACTTTCCCCCACCTACTTAGACTCTTCACTTCTACTCTCCCAACCAATTCCTCACTGTTAATTAGAATTAAGGTCAGAATAGTAGTTCCTCTATTTTCTTCCTCTCTACTCTGGGAAAGGAACTTACCAGTAGGAAAGAACTTACCAAAATAGTCTAAAGTTGAAGAAAAATTTTAGAAGACATCTAGGTAAAGTCCCATATCACTACTAATTTTGTGACATGCAGACGAACACATACATCATCTATGTCCTTTCTTTGTCTAGATGGTCTGAAAATTCCCACTCTCAGATGGGTGAATTTCCTGTATGTTTTCTTGACATAAAGTAGCTTCCCCTCTGTATCTTTTAAGTAAGGCACTGCTTTACAATGCCTCATAAATGTTCCATAAATGTTCCATGATCAAAGGGCACTATGTCTTCTTTATCAAGGAACGATTTCTCTCTCTGCAAAGAAAGGCCCACAAAGGCCTTGTTTTCTTCTCTTTCTCCATATAACCTTCTTCTCCACTCTTTCACTTTTAGTTTAGTTTCCCTTCAACCATGTCAGATTCTTATAATTCCTGCTTTTCTTTTATAACGATATCCTCCAATCTAGAGATTCTGCACACTTTCTGAGAAGCTATAACATAGTAAAGTATTCCTCAACTATAAATAAAGACATTTACATTTGCTATTCATAGAGCTGCACTTTGTTCTGATATGATATAAAAAAAATACTGCATTCCCTAGAGATCACTAGAACAATTCCCTCAATTTCCATACCTTTTAGTTAGGGTTGAGATTCCAGGTGGGATTCTTCTAGCTGTGTCTCCCCCTGATAACTACTGGGTTAATTACTACAGAAACTACCTGTTTCTCTAAGCCTTTAGCAGAGGTAAAAGGCCCACAGATATAACACACAGCATGACATAAGGGTGCACAAAATGCAAAATATGCAGGGAATCATACAAATTTCTTAAGAAGGAATGAGAAAACCTGTGTATGTTTGCCAACTGATGGGCAGGGAGGGGGTTAAGAGTGCAAATAGGCTGGAAACAAGCACATTGCTTAGAACATTAGCTGGTGATTACGACTTGCCTTTATGGGCCGGCAGGTCTGTGGTTTATGGGAGTCTGAGGCTGGCTTAAAGAGCCGGGGGCTGAGCAACCCTGCCTTTAATTAGGGAAAGTGAGAATTTACTGGTTGCGTAGTGAAATGTCCTCTTAATCCAAAATTGACCAAAATTGAGCACTTCTGTGGCTAAAATCTCCACTCCCAAAGCAACTTTGGGAGACTTGAAATAAGTGGAAGGACTTTAGTTCTGCTGTCCTTTCACTCTCCTACACAGATAACAACGAAGGCTATGAATAATCTTACTATACTCTTTGCTAACTTCCTAGTCTTAAAACACTGACTTTGGGCACATCTTCTAGGCCAGAATGCTGCCTGCCATATTTTCCTCCACTGTGTATGAGTTTTGATTTTGCTTAAGTCACACAGCTGCAGCAGCAAGCTGTCTAGAAATAGTCTGTGTTGGTATTCAAGCTGAACAAATCCTGGTCTCTATTTATGATACTCCCTTTTGACTCTTACTCTCTGATTCCAATCAATGGACTGAAAATAAAACTCAGACCTTGAATTAAAAAACAAATAGGCTAGATAGGAACAAGGCATTGAATACATTACTTTTTCTATGCTAACTTCAAAGAGAAGGGGAAAAAGTTTAATGTCTCTTTAATGTCTCTGCTACCTCTCTTCCTACCTATCTCAGTAATTTTAAATACTGACGAAAAACACAAATTGAACACTTCCCTATTCAGTTTCTCACAGGCTGCTACCAACATTGGAGCAACATCACATACTGTTATCAAAAGAAGAAGAATGTTCCACAAACCATAGGAAACATGTTTGTGGTTTCAGCCTCTGTGAGCTCTTGCTCTAATTGCTGACACAGACAGTGCTTTGCCCCTAAAAACAATGAGGCACAGTTAGGAAAGAGCCTTCCAGATACGGCAGTGAAGATGCAGATGGGCTGCAGGCAGCAATGACTGAAAATGGACTTTGGCTAGTAAAATAGCTGGTCTGGGAGCACTTTAGATGGACTGAAATGTATATTTTCAACTTTGACATAAATTCCCAGGATAATCATTAGTCCTAGATACGGGGAAAACTGGCAATTCCTTGAATCACTATTTCTGTTGGTTTGAGGCTCAAGCTATTTTAATGCAGGTTGGTTAATTAGCCCTAGCACAGAGAAATTCATTAGACACCCTTGGTTGAGTATTCTTCTTTCTAAGTTGACTTCACAATATGTACTTTACGGAATGTTCACTAATGCTTAAATTTTTCTGATTTGCTAAGTAATGTTGATACAATTTTAAAAACTACAACATTACCTGGTGATACTGGCATCTCATCAGGCACCATTGGGAAGTCATTTTTCCTAATCACACATGGCTGGAATGAATGGATATTCTTTGTGAAGCCACTTCCCTACCTGAATATTTGCTACCTGCCTTTGGGGGAATTACTTAGGGACCCAGACTCAGGGGCATATGGCATTTTGCATATTCGCTTCGATTCATTTTATTGAGGCCCATGATCTGTCCCCTTCAAATTATCAAATGTGTTTGGCAATTCGCAAGTTATTCTTATATATCCAAATGAGGAAAAACTTAGGCTATGTGAAATCAGTGAATCTTAGACCTTGGACGTCATCTAATCCAATTTTCTGATTTGTGTGTGTGTGTGTGTGAGGAAGATCAGCCCTGAGGTAACATCCGATCCCAATCCTCCTCTTTTTTGCTGAGGAAGATTGGCCCTGAGTTAACATCCAGGCCTATCTTCCTCTACTTCATATGGGACGCCACCACAGCATGGCTTGACAAGCGGTGCGTCAGTGCGCGTGAACCCCGGGCCGCGGAAGTGGAGCATGCGCACTTAACCGCTTGCGCCACTGGGCCCGCCCCCCAATTTTCTGATTTTATAGAGGGAGAAACTCACGCTCAGATCGCAGAGACTTGCCTAAGGTCAGACAGCTAACTAGTTAAGAAAGTTGGATTTCAAACCTAGCACTATTAACTTCTTAATCCAGCGTGCTTTTCATTATAACCTAGTGTATACCTTCATTTTTCTGGAGAGGATGGGGGGTGGGGAGAAAAAGAAAAGAAATTATAACTGTAAAAATATACTATTTTACTATTTATTACCTCTGGCCAAACGTTACAAGAGTAGGTTAAACATTTCCCTATCCTTCTCCTTTGATTCCCTAGAGAAGGCACTTGTGAAACACACGTTTTAATTTTTTTAGATTGAATCACTCCCACCACAGAAATTCTTGCAACCCTGCCTACAACCTGTTATTACAGCCCTACAAAAAGTAGCACAGAATTTAGTTAATTGGCCCAAAGCCTGTTCATTCACCACTGAAAAACATAAAGTAGGGATAGAAGCAAGTACTTTATACAAGTGGGTTGAAAAGAAATCTAGGTTGCTAATGAATCAATGTTATAATCTGTCTCATGTATATAGGTTAAATAAATTATATTTGAATAATTTAGCTCTGAGAAGTTATATGCTATCGTACTGCCTAAATTATAGCAGTACACTAAAGTCTCATTATAATGCCTTCAGGTTTCAAGCTGTGAGACCACATTACTAGAGAGACTTGTCATGATGAAGGCCTTCTGGTACTTCAAAAGGTAAGATATGTTTGTGAACCATAGTCTACGAGGGAACTCCCTTTTGAGGAATCTCATGTAATAGTATGTTATGATGTGGCAATACACACGAGTGTATTTCAACATTATTGTGCTTTATCATAATAAAGATTTTATCAAAATTTAGAAGGAAAGGAGAGGGCTTCACACTTACTGACTACCTACCACCCTAAACACTGTGCTATGTATATTTCATATATTATCTAATTTACTCCTCACAATTCCAGAAAATATTATCATCTCATTTTTACAGATTGGGAAACTAAGACTCAAAGAAATTAGGTGGTTTACCTAAAATCACATAGTTTATAACACACAGATCTGGGACTTGAACCCAAAAGTGTCTGATTCTAAAGCACTGGACTTTCCTTTATGCCATGTTGCTATCACTCAAAAAATTTAGAGTAAAAGCTGCTCTTTAGCTTCCCAGAAATTTCCTTAGCAAAACAAGTCACTCACTCACTAATTGTTAACAATGTGTCTAAAACTGTGTGAAAAGCACCAGATAGCAAAGTTTAGTTTCTGGACCTTTTTTTGAGATAAACATAATATATTTGTCTCATAGACTTTTACAATTAATGATATTAAGTATATAACTATTCAATAAATATATAGTCAAATATATTCTTATTTTATATTACTGCTAATTTTGTAAAGAAGAGAAGAAGAGACAAAAAAAGGAAAAAGGAAACCAGAAGAATAAAAAGCAACTAAAGTTAAGGGTGAAAAAAGAACAGAAGATAAGAAGGGCTAAAGGGAGCAGAGAGACAGAGACGGGACAGGCAGGTAGAAAAGAGAGAGTCAGGAGAGAACTGACAGCAGAACCTGCCCAGACCTCCTCTGTCTCTGCCCAGACCTCCTCTGTCACTGCACAGCCCTCCCCTCACTCTTTCTGTCTGAGAGCCAAAGTACTCTAAGCCTCCTGCTCTGCCAAGCCAGCTCTTCCTCTGCCCATCATGCCACAGCTATCATCTCTTGCCCAGCATATGCCTCTGGCCCCCCCTACTCCCAGTAGTCTCCTAACCAGTATTTAAGTTGACAGTAGACCTGGCATTGCTATACGGAGCTCTAGGCCACTTTGTCTCAGTTATTTAAAAACCAAACCAAAACAAAAATACCCACATTTGCATCTGCTAAACGAAGGAGGACACCTTGCGACAGAAATGAGGAAGTTATGTTTACAGAACATTGGGATCTTCTTTGGGAACACTTTTTTAGAGGTGCCTTTGAGAAACTATCATTTTAAGAGATATAAAAAACGATGCTTATAATTTAAGAAAATATGCCAAAGAATAAATGAAATTTTAATTAAGCAAAAAACCCAGACTGAGATGACTAACCCTAATTTAATTAGTGTCTTTTCTTACTGTGTGCTGAGGGCCATCTTCATTATCTCTCATGTAGAAAGGCTTGAGTGCTAAGGGATAATTAATGACAAAGACTGGTATGTTGCCACAGTGCTTCACCAGGTACTTTTCATGTTCAGTGTGTAGATCAACACCCCACTGTAATGAGAAAAAAGAAATTACCAGAGGAGAAGACAGAGTTAAAATACATACTGCAGGACCTGAAAATAACCTGCATCAGTTCCAAGGGCTTCCTCTCCCTGAGGATCATGATGTGTGGAGCTGTCTGCTGAGGTTACACAGATGACTGACTAGAGAGAGAGGTGTTAACAAGAACATCCACAGGCCTGGAAAGGTGCAAGCTGAAACTCGGAGATCAACACTCTGCTTTCTGCCCCCTCTCAGGGAGCAGCATGTCGCAGATGAAGAGCATCTGCAGGAAAACAAAGCACACTGTCCACAGTGGATAAAAACTGACTTCAGAACCATACTTTTTATTAATACTGCCTAGAGCTTCTTCTACAGTTACTGTTCTTAAATCTCAGGAAATTAAATGATGAAAGATAATATTCCTGATATTGAGTCTATCTTAGGCTAGATGGCTTCTCTCAGTGAATTTTTTTTTAATAAAAGAGTCAACTCATATATCAGACATTCTTTGATGAATATTTAATAACACTATTCATCTATTTATTCAGCAAATACTAATGTGCCTATTAAATCCCAGGTACCATGCTAGGTACTGGATATAGTGGTAAGAAAAATAGACTCCCTGACTTCATGAAGCTTCCAGGGTAGAAGACAAACATTAAATAAAAAATTATACAAAGAAATTAATTGATTATAAATATAACAAGCACATGGTACTATTATAACTTATAAGAGGATCTGACTTAACTGGGAATGGGATTGGGGTAAGCAATAGTTTAAAGACAAAGGTATTACATTCTTAACATTATCTTCTTACTCCCACTTGTCTGGCACTATCTTAATTAGAGGAAAGAAGCACCAGCACTGGAACGAGGAGACTTGTGTCTGACATTATGTGCATGCCCACTGACAAATCAGGTGGCCTCTCTGGACCTATATCCTTGCCAATAAAATAAAGGAGTTCTTAAAAAAAAAAATTAGGTGTTTTCCAAAGCGGATCACAAATTAGAAGACTTTATAAAGTTCAACAGAAAAAGAAACCTGTTTAATGTGTTGCCTAAACTTATTTGATCACATAACCTCTTTTGTCTGTCACCTGTTAACATCATTCAGCATATACTTTGAACCAGTTGATTTCTACACTAATATTCTATGATTATCATTCCTTTTTAGGATTTTCATCTTCCTAAACTTGGGAAGCTTCTTTATAACCTTTAGTCACTGCTATTCCAAATGATATGATTCTACTTCAAAGTTATTTTTCATTCTAAATACTTCAACAAGGTTGAGCAACCATCAAAAAAGCCAATGTACAGATGAGCAAGTACTGCACATTGCTAATAAGAGAAGTAAAATTATTTTAAAGGATCCTTAATGAAATAAGGACAAGAGGGAAACATATTTTCGTTTATATACATTTAAATATTACCTCTGGGGTGAAGGTGAAGTTCTGGGATGCCTGCTTTAAGATCTCCACTGCTTCAGTATAAGAAATGCTGGAGGGAAACAAGGTGAAAGGTCAATACAGTGGGCTGTTGGTAACTAGTCCATCTTAAACTAGAAAAGGCCTATTTCCATACAGCCTTTGAGATCCTAAATGAGTATTAAATGATTGTTGAGTAATCAGGAAGTAAGGCTGATCTGATCCTATGAGAGTCTGATTAGCATGAAGAGAAGTAACCATTTAATAACCCCACTCCTGATCTACTTGCCATGTACACAGAGGAGCTAGTCACTTAAGCAATGAAAGATTTTCTTCGAATTCATGCTATGCCAATGCCTTAATAAAAGATGTGAAATATTGAGGCCGAAAGAGCAAAAGTCTTTCCTTAAAGTTGTCATTCATTCATTCATTCATCCAACAAACAACAACATACATTATGTGCTAGACATTATTCTAGGCACTGGAGATACAGTAAATAAAAACAAAGCCCCTGCCTTTATGGAGTCCATATTCCGGTGTGAGAGTGAGTGTTGGGGTGAGGGGTGGGGAGTGGGGAGAAAGATAAACAGAATAATATAATGCCAGGGAGCTACTGGTGCTATGAAGAAAAATAAAGCAAGGTAAGAAGACAGAGGGTGTTTGCGGTGCTATTTCAGATAAGATGGTCAAGAAAGGCCTCACCAAGTTGGTGACATGTGAACAGAAACCTGCATAAGGTAAGGAAATGAGCCACATAAAAATCTGGGGGGAAGTATTCCAGGCAAAAGGTAACAGTGAGTACAAAGGCCTGAAATGAGGAACAGTTTGGTTCATTCAAGGAACAAAAAGGTTAATGTGACTACAGCATACTGAACAAGGGGAAGAATGCCAGGAAATCAGATAGGAAAGGTAGTCAGAAGTCAGATCCTATGGACTCTCTCAGACCATGGTAAGGGCTCTGTAATATATTCTAAGCATTGTAAGACTGTTTAGGAAAAATACCATTGCTTACCTCAGTAAGAAAACCTCATGCCTAAAACAAGCTAAACCAAGGATCTGTTTTAACTGTTCGAATAGGTAATATATGCACATAGTAGAAAAAAAAATCAAGATCTATAAAAGAGTACACATCTCCCTTCCATCCCTGTCCCACAGCTACCCAGTTTCTCTCCTCACACACAATCACTGTTACTGGTTTCTTGTATATCCTTCCAGAGGGTTTTATACATCTACAAGCAAATATTAATACACAATCTCCTTTTTTTTTTTTAAGATTTTATTTATTTTATTTTTTCCCCCCAAAGCCCCAGTGGATAGTTGTATGTTGTAGCTGCACATCCTTCCAGTTGCCGTATGCGGGACTCGGCCTCAGGATGAACGGAGAAGTGGTGCCTCGATGCGCACCCGGGATCCGAACCCGGGCCACCAGCATCGCAGCGCGCGCACTTAACCACCAAGCCACAGGGCCAGCCCATACAATCTCCTTTTTTTAATAGATGGCAGCCACAGCATACATACCATACACACTCTTTTACATCTTTTTTTACTCAATATACTTTGCAAATCTTTTCCTTTCAGTATACGAAGAGCTTCTTCATGTTTTGAACTATTACACAATATTCAATTTTGTGGATGTATCCTAATTAGTTTAACCAGTTATCTATTGATGGATATTTCAGCTGTTTCCAATCTTTTGCCATTATAAATCATGACTACATATGTCTATTTTATGCTATTACAAACGATTCTCATATACTAATTTAGCACATGGAAAAAATGGAATTGCTGATTCAAAGGGAATTTGCATTTGCAGTTTTTACATATTTTGAAAGATATTGCCAAAGATATGGCTCCCCTTTTACACCAATTTATGCTCACCAGTAGTATACGAAAATGTCAGTTTCCCTATGTCCTCTGCAATATTGGATGATTAAAAACAAAAATCTACAAACTTTCTGAAGGACTTTGAGCTCAAAAAATAACTTACTCAAACCAAACCTACTGGGCCAGCCCTGTGGCTTAGTGGTTAAGTGCGCGCACTCCGCTACTGGCGGCCAGGGTTCGGATCCTGGGCGCACACCAACACACCACTTCTCCGGCCA